TCCAGTTAAAGTGAAAGATTGATTCACTCAACAAATGTTTACGGAGCATCTACACTAGGTACATAGCACAGAGCAGTGAATAAAATAGTCCCAAATCCTTAGTTAGAGATATAGACAACAAACCATATTAGTAACACAGTTCATTAGATAATAGTGAGTGTTCTAGAGAAAAAATAAGACTGTAAAAGACAATGGGGAGAGTGACTAAACTTAAAAAAATAATAAAATAGTTTGCAAGTTGTATATATTTTTTTAAATGGTGCAACTGCTTTGGAAATGGTTTGGCAGTTTCTCAAACCTTTAAACATAGGGTTACCATAGGACCCAGCGGTATATGCCCAACAGAAATGAAAACATATGTCCAGAAAACCTTGTACGTGGATGTTTATAGCAGCACGATTGCTAATGTCCAGGAGGCGGAAACAACCCCAGTAGCCATCAACTGATGAGTGAATAAATACACACAGTGGAGTATTATTCAGCCACGAAAAGGCAGAGAGTACTGTTCCGTGCTACAACACAGATGACCCTTGAACACATTACACCAAGTGTGAGAAGCCAGACACAAATGACCACATACTGGATGATTCCACTCATGAAATGTCTAGAATAGGCAAACCTCTAGAGACAGAAAACAGATGAGTGGTTGCCTAGGGCCGGAGGACGAGATGAGGGAGGGTGATGGCTAAGAGGTATAGGGTTTCATCTTCTTTCAATGAAAACATTCTAGAATTGATTGTGGTGATGGATGCGCAGCTCTGAATATAGTACAAGCCACTGGATTCTACACATTAAATGGGTCAATTGTACGGTATGTGGCTTATATATCAATAAAGCTGTTTTGTTTTTTTTTTAATTAATAAGCAGTAAACTCAATAAGAAAATAAGCAAAAGCCACGTCCAGGCATTTCACAGAAGAAAAAACATGTAGCCACGATAGATACTTGAAAAGAGGCTCAACCTCATTCCTAATTGGGAAAATGCTCATTAAAACCACAGTAGGGGGGGCGCCTGCGTGGCTCAGTTGGTTAAGCGACTGCCTTCCGCTCAGGTCATGATCCTGGAGTCCTGGAATCGAGTCCCGCGTCAGACTCCCTGCTTGGCAGGGAGTCTGCTTCTCCCTCTGACCCTCCCCCGTCTCATGCTCGCTCGCTCTCTCTCTCAAAAATAAATAAATAAATCTTAAAAAACAAAACACAGTAGGACACCACTGTATACCCACTGGACCAGCAAATATTTTAAACTCAGGTAATACCCCTTCTCCACAGGTAGGGGAGGTAGAGAAGCTGCCCTGGGGGTGGGGGTGGGGGCGGGAATTGGTACAGACCACTTTGGAATGTAATATGGCATTATTTTTAGAGAGTTGAAGATGCAAGTGTCCATGACCCAGCAGTTACACTCCTAAGTATATAACTGAAGTTCTCCACTTGTGTGCTGAGATCACATATAATAATAGTTATAGCAGCACTGTCAGATCGAAAACCACAAAATTGTAAAAACGAAACAATATTTAGGGTTCAGAGTGTATGTAATAAATAAACCTATTTTTAAAAAGCAAACAAGAGAAGGATAAACACAAAATTCAGGAGAGTGGAAATGGGAAGGCAGTGGGAGGGCCTCACAGGGGATGCAGGGTAATAGTAATATCCTCGTCTTAAACCGGGTGGTGGGGTATAGGTGTATATTGTAGGGATGGAGACAGCGGTCCAAGGCAGAGTGCATTCTGACAACCCAATATTCAACAAAGATTTAGAAAAACTCAGAAGCGTACATGAAGCAGTTTTTCCATGCGGTTCAATACCGAATGCTAATAATGCTGACCTTAAGTTTCTAGAAAAGTTTAACATATACAGCATTTTTTATTTAAGAAGCAAAAGAGATAAAATGTTCTTATCCAGGAAAAAAAGAAGAAGGAAGGGAAGGAGGGGAGGAAGGAAGGAAGGAGGGAAGGAAGGAAGGGAGGAAGGGGAAGGGAAGGAGGAGGGGAGAAAGAAACTAAGAAAAGTACACAAAAAAAGCAGCATAACAGGAGTGTGTTAGAAAGGTTTCCAACAAAAATGGTTAAAATGAAAAGTCTTCAAGTTCAAGGTGAACATTTATTTGGCCACAACTTCTTTAATCCTCAGTAGTGCTAACTAAACCAGACGTTGCTGTAAGTAAAACCCCACACTCATTTCGGTCACTTAGTGGTTGGTTCTCTCTTTTTCAGATCCTGCTCACACTGAGAGATGAGCCGCAACCGCACGGAGGAAGAACCTGTTTGCGACTCCTGCTCCAGCAGGGGCGTGGGGCCGAAGCATCCACCAGCGCTGCAAGGGGTCCGCGGTATTTT